AAGACAGGTAAATGATGGCATATTCTTTGCATTTGCCATGCAGCTCAGGAATTTTCCTTCAGTATGATCACCTTAAGCATAGTGAATCAATAAAAAATATTTTAAGAAATACTTTCAGTGAGTTAAAGACTTTTTTTTTTTTAAAGCAAGGGCATAAGATAGAAAAAGTTTCTCAGGTCTATATAACTACTACAAACAGAGTTAAATGGAAACATCCAGAAATTGTAGACATAGCCTCTGGTATGACATCTTCTAATACTTTAAATACCCACCTGAGCAAAGGCTGGTAGGAAAATCCATTGCCCAAATCTGATTCTAGTTTTCACGACAAAAAAGAGGGAAAATACCTTTAATGATAAGGGCAGAGGATGATGCCTGTTGCATTGCTTTCTTTAAAGGGACATGTGGTCCTGACAGGGGTCTCTGGACTTCACTGATCCCGTAACAAAATTCCCCAGAGCTCAGGAGTGCAGTTACAACCAATACTTGCTGGCACCAATAGGAAGGATCCTGAGCTGGTGTTCTTGGAGTCTCGCTTTAGGAGTTCACACATTGACGTGGTAGACTGTTTAACTTTAAAAGCAAAACAATCATAAGCAGACTAGTCTTTTTTTAAAGTCAGGTTATGATACCAAATTCATATCAGTAATGAATCCACACAGGACAGTTGCTTTATGGATGGTTACTGTGCTGTTTTATGAAGTCATTTTAGATAGCCAGGCTACCCTATCATAAGCAGTTCTGCTGCAGTCTTCAGTATAATTCACAATAAAATACTCTCCTGATCTGTCTGTTTTCATTTCCCCTCAGAATTTCTAACTGATAAATTTTCTTTTGGTAAGGCTTCTCTTGTATGTCTTCCTTTACTTTTTTCTTTCATGCCTTGATATTTTTGATGTTATTTTAATGTTACTTCTAAATCTATATGGAACTTGTCATCAATTTTAATTTAAAATAGATATTTTAGTATAGTTCTTAGGTTCTGTTTTATGCTACAGCCTGAAGTCATGCTGAAGTTCATGGCTTCAGGATGTGAATGGCTGTGCCCCATAAGAAGGGCGCTTTGGCCACTCTACTCAGTAGTGTTGAGGCTGGCTGTATGAATGTTTAAGGTGGCTGGTGCTGTGAGAACGAACATGATTGAAAGAGCAGGGCATTCCCACATGGGCCAGTGCTGCAGTCTCCCAGACATTGAGTTTTGAACCTGGCATATTTATAAGGACAGGAGCTAACCTGAGCCCTGCTCTCAAGATGCTGCAGTCTGCCCCTCCTGGTCCTTGTCCTGCTGACTGGTCTTCAGTATGCAACCATGTCATGTTCTTTCAGCCTTTTGGCATATGCTGTTCCCTTTTTTCCTTCTTTTTTTGCTAACTTAACTCTTGTCATCCTTTATGACAAGCCTTCATTTTATTTATTTATTCATTAGCAAATATTTACTGGTTACTAAGGGCTGGACTGAGCTAGGTGTTGGGGCATAGGAGGTGACACCAGAAAAAAAAACACTACACACAAAATATGGTGCCTCCTCACTATGTTTCTGGGCTATTGAAATAGGAGTGTCTGGGAGACTTCCTTGAGGGATTGGTGTTTTGGTTTTTTGGGGGTTTTTTTTTGGTACCAGGGATCGAACTCAGGTCCTTGCGCTTGTGAGGCAGGTGGCAGAACCACTGAGCTAAATCCCCGGCCCAAGGGATTGGTGTTTGAAATGAATTCTGAAGGTCGAGACAGATGAAGGGTAAGAGAGCATTCTCAGGCATGACCTTTTGTCAGGGGGGCCATGGCATGTTCGTGGACTTGAAAAAAGGCTGATGTGGTGGCACACACAGATGGCAGGAGGAGGCATTGCTTGAGGTTAGGGTGGATGGGCAGGTGGACAGAGGTAGTCCTTATAGGCAACAGGAAGTAACTTGGCTCTTTATTGAAAGTAGCAGACACTGTTGAAGGATTTAAGCTGTGAGTAACATGACCGGAGTTGAATTTGATACAGATTAATCTCCTGAATACAGATAATGGGAGTGAATGGGAAGAAATCAGTTTCTGTTGTGGGTCCTTAAAGAAAGGGCAGTTTGGTGCCCTAGTCCATTTGGGCTGCTGTAACAAAGTATCAGGAGGTAGATGGCTTTTAAATAATGGACATTTATTTCTCATAGTTGTGGAGTGTGGGAAGTTAGGCTCAGAGCACTGGCAGATTCTGTGTGTGGAGAGGGTCTGTTTTTTGGTTCATGGATGGCACTTTCCACTGTGTCCTTGTGTGGTGGAAGGGGTGAGGCAGCTCTGTGGGGTCTCTTTTCTAAGACCACTAATCCCATTCATGAGAACTCTGCACCCATGACCTACTCCCCTCCCCAACCCCCCACCTCTCAATACCATCGTGCAGACCATATATAGACCATAGCACTTGGACTAGGGCAGTGGCAATGGAGAAAGATAAATTTATTTGAAAGATAGGAGATGAAAACTGGCAGGATTTGGGGATGGGCTACACATGGAGGGTCAGGGGAAGGATGTTCCAGGACAAGTCCCAGGTTTCAGATATGCACAACCAGACAGTTAGTGATGTTTTCCGTAATCCCTAAGGTAAGGAGTACTAGGAGAGTTTTACTGGACTGATCATGAATTTGGATGTAGTCATGCTGAATTAATTCAGTGGATATTTGAAACATCTAGGATGCTGAGCAGGTACTTGGATATTTAGGCCTGGAGCTTAGAAAGCTGATTCTGCCTGGAGATAGACTTGGGATTCACAGGCACACATTGGTTATAGTTCAAGTTGTGGATGTGGACATATTCCATGTAGGAAGAAGGATTATATATAGTGAAACTAGGGTTTAAGGCCAAGCTGTGAGGAGCTCCAGCAATGGGGCCTGGTAGAAAGCTGCAGAGTGGTGGCTTCTGAAAGCATTTGGGAGAACAGTTTTCCACCTAGAATAAGTAACACTAAATGGTGCTGAAGCAGAAATTTCAGATGTGCATTGCACTTGGTGGCCTTAGGAGGAAGTGTTTTGATTTGAAGACAGCAGCTTGCTGGTTGGAGTGGGTTGAAGCACGAGTGGGAGTTAAAGATGTGGACAAATCCAGGAAAGACAGAGAGAAGTCTCTGTGTAAAGGGAGGAAAGAGCCAGGGATTGGTGAGGTCCAGGGAGATTATTTCTCTCGCTGTTTGTCCAGTATGGGAATTACTTGCACATGTTTAAGGCTAAAGCTGGTGGGGTGGTGGAAAGTACCCACTTGAGTCTGAAAGGTTGCATCCTTGAGATAATGGGGATGAGCTACAGTCCAAGTTTCTGGGCCAGATCAAATAGGATTGGGTTAAAATAGATTAAAAACAAACATGCATGTAGGCAAGGAGAAGGCAGGAGGAGAAAAGCAGCAGGTTTGTGGCTTTGGTGTTGGAAAGATAAGGAAAAGTACCTTTTTCTATTTTTGTGAAGAATGAGGTAATCAGTAGAGGCATCCTGAGATGAGTGGGGCATAGAGGGTTGAGGGAGAGGATGAGGATTGGGAGAGTTGTTCAACAAGGAGGACGTGAGCCCCCAGAGATGTACCACAGAATCCCTGATACTGAGCATGGCTGTGGCTGCTCAGGGAACCCATCTGCTCTGTGCATGCCTCCACCACACACTGGACACTCACATTCAGTTAGGGAAAATAATCAGGCTCAACCAGGGCTGGGTTAGGCTAGACCTGGATGCCAGGTGTGATAAAAGAGGGGCAAGGGAGGTGTGTGAATCAGCAAGGGCGTTAGTCCAGTGAAGGGCAATGAAATCTTAAACTGGACGAGAGGAGGGCTAAGAAAGAATTGAGGGCTGCAGTACAGGGTTCATGGACAGTGAGTGCTCTTCCAACATTTTTACATTTTCCATTCCAGTTTACCTACAAACACACATATTCATGTGTCACTAAAACAGACTTCATAAAATCATGCTTATACTTAATGTGTGCAATGCATGCTGATTTTTTGTGTTTTATTTTATTTCAACGTATAGTTGTGCCCCACTAAATGTGATTCAGGATACACTAATGAGTCATGGCTTGCAGTATGGAAATGCCGTGGGTGACACTGAAATACAGCCATAGTGGGAGTAGTTGAGTTAGTAAGCTGGGAGATGAAGAGCTCAAAAAACAGGTGTTACTGTGTTGATTTTGGAAGCAAAGCATTTATGAGAAGTCATAATCATGACTTAGGGTCATAATAACAGGTAACATAATAACAAATAACAGGTGAAGTCAAAGAGTAGATCATGGAAGTCAGTAGCTCAGGTATTCAGAATCCAGTACATTACATGGCTCCACTAGGATCCTTAAGTGGGTGGAATCACTCAGGGCGATGGTGAGACCCAGGAATGAAAGAGACACAGGAGCAGACAGTGAGTCTGGTGCCACCCTCTTCAAGAGAGAGGGGTGAGCAGGAGGTTGATATACAAAAGAGACAAGGATGGAGCAAGGGGAAGAAGTGAAAACCCTGAGCCTCAAAGAAGCAGGAGCTTTTACAAAAGAATGTCATGTGACATGTGTTGGTGCATGGAGATCCCAGGAGGACATCACCACTGCTTTCCAGGGCACTTTGGGTCCCCTGTCTCTGAAGGACTGGCACCACTACTACATCTTTGTCATTGTATAACATCTATTGCCTCTAGGCCACAAGCATGGGGCAAAGTTTACTCTGCATCTCAGGTTCCAGCTATAGACTCTATGGTACTGAAAGCTCCTCAGTGGCTCACATGTCTGCAGGAGTAAGTATTAAGTGATGGGACCCAGTAAGTGCTATTCATAATCTAGGACAGTGGTGGTGAATCTACGGCATGCATGCCTCAGCGGGCTGTTTGTATTGTTGAAAGCTCTAATAGGTTCACCATTGCTGGTCTAGGATATATAGGCCACACAGTGCCAATGGTATTATTCTGGATTTGATGTCACATCCAGCATTTCCAGTCAGTTCTACATTGGTGCAAATCAGGTCTAACTGGCCATTTTATCCTTACATTTATGTTTGTTTTTAGAGTTGTTCTTTCATGGATGTGACTCTTCTGGATGAGCACAGGAAGCCCTTTTGGTGCTTGAGCTCTGCAGTCTACATGAGGCCGGCTGTCTGCCCCTCGGATGGTCCTCATTTCTTGGGACAGACATACTATATTGACTATAAGGATGTGGAAGGAAGAGTGCATGCAGAACTGGTGTGGATTGAAGAGACAGAAGAATATTTCATTGTCAGCCTGGTCCTTTACCTCAGTGTAGCAAAAATAAACCACTGGTTTGGAACAAAATACTAAACAATAGGTGGCAAAGTATTGTTGCTAGTTAGCTATTTGTTTTTGACTAACAGCTTTGTTCTTGGTATTGAAAGTTAAATAAAGCATATTTATAGTAATCTCTGTGATGCCTTATTTTTGCAACAGAAATTATGACTTACATGTCATTTCTAAGTTAACATTTAGAAGATTAAGTTAAATTTTAAAAAATAGTACATCCTAATGAAATTTCATGTCAGACAAAAAAGGGAAAACGTATTTACTTCTCTTCTGCCCTTAGTTTAAAAAACAAGTCTATCTGAGCATGTGGTCATGCGATTAGTTTGTATGTGGTATGTTTGTGTGTGCATGTGCACACCTGTGTGTGTGTATGTATATATGTGCTGTATAGATGAGGCTTTGTTTTTTCTTAATTAGCAAGAAGCCCAAATGAGAAGATACGCTTAAATATAAACTTCATGGTATCCATTAGAACTGTGGAAAGTACTATGCTCACAGCCTTCAGTCGCCATATTAGGGTTTAATAAAACAAAATAGAGAAATGGTGAAATTGATGAGGAAAGATAGAGATCATCAGAGGGATTATAACTTAGAAAAGAATAGTAGAATACAATTAAGGCACTCAACTCCTAGTTCTCCATTAGTGGGATGGTGATAGATTAGTTATCAAACACTTCCTCTGTGGGAATATTTCAGGTGAACTGACAGATAAAGTGCACGTGACTTACGAACTCGATCGATTCTCAAGGGCTGGTTATAACTCAAGTTGGTTGTAAGTCAGTACAGCTGAGATTTGGATGTTTACCTGAGTACACACTATAGATAGCAAGAGGCAGATGAATCTTCCATTAACCTAATCAACTCAAGTTTGTATGTCAGGCTGGTTGTAACTTGATGGTTCACTGTATACAGGGATCAAATAGTGGCAACATGTATCCACACGTATGTTATTTTAGGCCATTTGATTCTAAATTTGTTTTGGATTTTATTGATTGTGTTTGATCATATTTTTATTTTCCCCTAAAGTTATTCTCAGTGGTTTTTTTATATTATACCTTATTTCTCCTACTCAGGCATGCATGATTAAACCTTTTCATTCTTCTCCTTTTGAGCATGGCTGTTTTCCTCTTTTGAGGTATGTATATGATAGTATGTGAGAGTATATAGAATTAAGGGCTCGGAGATAGTAAAATTTGGGAGTAATATTAAGTTCTTAGCCAAAGAACCTGAGAGAAAAGATTCCTGCTGCTTACACAATCCTCACCTTCCTGTGTCCTTGGCCTTGGGCCAAATCCCTTGAGAAGACAGTAACTTGAAATCTGTATCAGACCTTGGGAGCATAGGGCAATGTCATTTCATTTGCCAAAGAGTGAATGTAGAGTGCCTGCTCCATAGAAGTAGGAGTTGGGGATGAAGGAGACTTTGGCTTAGCAGTGCCAGAGATGAGGACAAGAAGACAATGAAAAGCAGGTGGCACTGCAGAGCCTGGATATATAGTACTGTTGCAGATAAGTAACTTAATTAGATATCTTGTAGGCAGTTAATTCAGGGCCAGCCCGGGAGGAGCCAACCTGGAGGACAATCAAGACACAGTCACTGAACACCAGAATTGTAAAAGGAGAGAAACTACACACGCTTGTGCTTCCCCTGGGGATAAATAGCAGTGATTGATATTCTAAATAGGTATCAAACACCTGGATGGAGGGGTCAAGGTCTTAACCCAGCCTTTCCAGGAAATATCCCTGACCCCCACCCTTACTGAAAAATCCTTGTATGCTTGCTACATGACTTGCTCCCCCATTTGATCCCCATTTAATCAATATTACCTGGGTGACTGTACTTGTAATCTTATTGATTGGTCATGGTTTTGTCCCACCTCATGCCCACCTTGTAAATTTCCATTGGGTCTTATAGTTTTGTCTCACTTTGTACCTGTCTCACCACATGGCTTTGCTGTATAAAACATCTTTGAAATGTGGGGTGAGTGGGCAACTCACTTTCTGGTCCCCCTTCTGTCTCTTAGAAGCTTTCTTTCTCCCAATAAATTTTTCCTGTTCTTAACCTCCAGTATTCCTAGAATTCATTCTTTGATTTTAGAGAACACGAACTTGTGTTTCAGACACCTAGTAGGTTTGGGAGTTATATCTCTTCCCCCTATATCAGTACCATGGAGCCAAGTGTGGCTTGTGGTAAATCTGAAAACAATCACAAGACCATGTGTGGGGACTCCCCTAACTCACTGGCTTTGGTTGTGTAGGAACTAAATGTCCTGAACGTACTAGAAATGATACAGAGCCAGAGAAAGAGACCTGTTCTCTTTGCCTCTAACAACATTTGAATGGAGTTGGGGAACAAGGAATATAATACATGAGGAAAGCTTTTAGGCCAAGGCTTGTTACAACCCTTGTCAATAGTGGAATTTAATAATGCTTAATGTCTGTCTTTCTGTCTAGACTGTTAGTCCTTGGACCAGGGGCTATGATCCTTGTCCACTGCTTCATCTCTAGCACCCAACAAAATCCTCAGGCTGGGGATTTAGCTCAGTGGTTTCGCTGCCTGCTATGCAAGCACAAGGACCTGAGTTCAATCCCCGGTACCAAAAAAAAAAAAGATTCCAGGCTCATAATAAATGCTCAATAATTGTTGGTTGGATCAATGGGGACAATTTTAAGGAATATACCAGCATTTTTGGAAGTGTGAAGTGGGCAGAATGAGTCTGCAAGCCCCTACATTACAGAGAATATTTACACCTTTTTGTTGCTGTTACTTAAAAAATTTTTTTTGGTACCAGGGGTCAAACTCAGAACCTTGTGCTTACCAGGTAGACATGGCACCACTGAGCTACATCCCAGCCCTAAATATACCTTAAAGGGAAGTTTGTTGGGTAATGAGGTCAAGGCAGGGGAAAGAGTATTCAAAAAGCCACTGTGTGGTAAGTGTTCTGTCAAAGCAAATACACACACCTCATGTGACTGACTGATTCTACAAGACATTCCTGCCTTCACGTGCACTTTCATGCATATGAGACAATATTGAGCTTCTTAAAGCTGCTCATTTTACCAAATATGCTATGAATTTGATTTTTTCTTCTAGAACTTTTCATTCCCAAATTTGCCTATTTGTTTTAAACGCCTCGTTGGAGAGCCACCACCTTGAGGTTTCCTGTGTGCATAAGCTTTTATGGAATCTTGTCTTCCTCTTTCTTGATTTATATCATTTTTCAGTGGTGCACATTCTCCCATAGTTTTCTATGAAAGGCTGATGTGGGAAGTAAATTTTGAATTCATAAACTTCTGAAAATATTTGATGGATAGTTTAACTGGGTATTAAATATAGCAAGAAAAATACATCTTCTGGAACTTTGAAGACCTTTCTTCATTGGCATTTGTCACCCTAGCATTGTGATGAAAATAATAGAAATACATACATAACCATTTAACTTTTATTTCCTCCATGCAATTTGCTTTCTCAGCTCTCTCTGGAAGCTTTTAGAATTTTCTCCCCTGGTATTTTGCAGTTTCAAGTTGATGTGCTTTGGAAAATGTCTTTGAATTCATTATGGGTCATTTTAACTTAAGAACTTATGTATCAGTTCTAGATTTTTTTCTTCTAGAATCTAGAAGTACATTCATCTTTATTCTGTAACTTTTACTAATTACCTCATACATTCTTGACTGATCCTCTCAAGTCTTTTATATTTATATTCACCTCATTTTTTCCTTTAGTCTTTTGTTCTGCTTTCTGGAATATTGTCTCAATTTCTTTTTCAATCTTCTATTTTTTCTTTTTTCTTTTGATGATCAGATCAGGCTTTTACTTTATAGGAACTCTTTTTTTGTTGTTCTTTGAAAATTTTTCTCCCAAAGTTTCTGTATGTGTTTTATAAATGTGATTTTTTTTTCTAAAGCAGGGGTTTGACAGGTAATAGTTTAGCTTTCTTGGGATGTATTGCTGTTGCAGTTACTCAGCTCTGGCACTGTATTGTGAAATTATCAATAGCTGATCTGCAAGTGATTGGGCATAGGTTGTGTTCCAAAATCCTTTATTTACAAAAACAGGCAGCAGAATTTGGCTTTCAAGCTAAAGTTTACCAATTCCTGAAGAGAAGTTTCTTAGGCTATTTTGTTTTTTTTAAAAAAATTTTCATCTTAACCATTTGACAAAACCATAGTAATGATAGTTTGGGACAAGAATTATCAATGGGTGGTAAAGTTTGTGGTTGAAAATATAAGATACAAAATATTGATATAGTGTCAAAGTTTTATGCCGCAGATACCAGTAACAAAAGAAAGGATAATAAGCAGGGCATTGTAGTGCATGTCTGTAATCCCAGCACTTGGGAGGCTGAGGCAAGAGGATCATCATGAGTTTGAGGCCAGCCCAGGATATGTAGTGAGTTCAAGGCCACGTTGAACTACCTAGTGAGACCCTATCTCAAATAACAACAACAAAAAAGAATAGTAACTATATAGTGAAGGAACCTGAAAAGATAGCAAAGTATTATCTAGTGATTAAATTAGCATCAGTAGTGGCTAAATGATTGTCTCCTTGTGACAACATAAGAAAGACACATCATTGCATCTGTGGCATTTTGCCAAAAATATGACATGGGGGAAACATTACACAGATATAAGTAGAAGGACCTTGTTCACTTACATTTATATTTTCATCCTACTTTTCCCTTCAAAAGTGTCAAGGTCATTAATGACAAAGGATGTCTTCAAATTGGAGGAGGCTGGAGAGTGGGGCAAGTGAAAGTAATTAGATTTCAGATCATAAAATGACAGTGATGGAATCATGAATGAAGTTTGAAGAAAGGTTTTAGGTTAGAGAATAGTATTATATCAATGCTAATTTCCTGATTTTGATATCAAAATGTGACATGATAACAGGAGACTCTGAATGAAGGGTCTATGAGAAAATTTTGCCATATTTTTGCAACAGTTTTTGTAAATATGAAATTGTTTCAGAATGAAAACATAAACTAAAATCATCTCTATCTTTATCATGCTTCCTGTGTATTTTAGTTTCCTTTTGTCTATTTTTCTTTTTTTATCTTCAAGTTAGTTCCATTTAATTGTTTCAAATTAATTTTATTGGTACACTTTAGATAAACACA